GAATCCATAACAACATCTATGTAATCATTAATGATGATGGTGTGGTTCTTTCAGAACCTGACCATGTCTGCAAAGCTTTTTTGGACTACTATATAGGTCAAGGCTATGTAGAGGCTTCAGTGAGGAAGATGTCAAGAGAGCTGTGTGGAGCATTGATGATGATAAGGCTCCTGGGCCTGATGGCTTCTCTTGCAAGTTCTATAAAGTTTCTTGGGAAGTGGTGGGTGCTGATATAACCTCTGCAGTTCTTGACTTTTTTTAGAATGGAAAACTTTTGAAATAGATCAATGCCACTACTCTGACTCTTGTCCCTAAAGTGGATGATGCAAGCAAGGTCACTCAATACAAACCTATTGCTTGTTGTTGTTGTGTGCAAAATCATTTCAAAAATGATTTGTGAAAGATTGAAGGAGGTGCTTCCTTATAATTGATCCCTATCAAGGGGCATTTGTGGTTGGAAGGTCAATTTTGGACAATATTTTAGTCTGTCAAGATATGTTGAAGGGTTATAATGACAAGAGTAAAGCCCCTAGATGCACCATTAAGGTGGACCTTAGGAAAGCATATGATTCTGTGAGTTAGGACTTTATTAGAAGTATGCTGGTGGCTTTGAAATTTCTTGAGAAAGTCATAGAGTGGGTGATGCAATGTGTTATAACCCCTTCTTACTCTCTCATGATTAATGGAGGCCTCCATGGTTTTTTAAGGGCAGGAAAGGCATCAGACAAGGGGATCCTATGTCCCCCCCCCCCCTCCCGTTTGTAATTATGATGGAATATCTTACCAGGATGCTTAGAAAGATTGGGAAGAAGACAACTTTTAAGTTTCATCAAAGATGTTCTTAGCTTGCTTTAAATCACCTCATCTTTGCTGATGATTTAATGTTGTTCTCTCATGGTAACAGGAAGTCAGTTTGTCTTTTAGTCAAGGCTTTGAAGGCTTTTAAGGTGAGATCTGGTCTGCAAGCCAATACAGATAAGATTTCTATCTATATTTGGCAGTGTGAAATAGAATGTTAAGGAGGATATTCTGCAGAGCTCTGGGTTTGTGGCAGGTACAACTCCATTTAGGTACCTAGGAATCCCTTTAGATGTTAGAAGCTTGAAAGTGGTTGATTATGATGGGCTAGTTGATAAAATGTTGGCTAAGATTCATTGCTGGAGTACAAGACACTTGTCCTATGCAGCAAGGGTGACTTTGATTATTAACTCAATTTTGATGAGCCTGCATACTTACTGGGCACAATGCTTGTTGGTTCCTAAACAAGTTATGCTGAGAATTACTCAACTATGTAGAGCCTTCCTATGGGATGAAATTGTTGTCATCTCTAGATCCCCTCCTATTGCTTGGGATTGTGTTTGTAAACCCAAAGTTGCAGGTGGCCTGGGCGTCAGGGACTGTATTAAGTGGAATAGGGCTGCTTTGGGAAACTATGTTTGGAAAATAGCCTAGAAATCAGATTTCCTTTGCGTGAAGCGGGTGCACTCAGTCTACATCAAGGATCAAGATTAGTGGGAGTATGAACCTTCTAAGCATGCAGGGTGAGGCTGGAAGCTGATGTGCAAAGTCAAAAATGAGCTTAAAGTTGGGTTCATAAGTAATAACTCGCTGGAAAGGAAGTACAAAATTGCTGATGGGTACATTTGGTTATAAGGCATCATGGAAAAAGTGGACTGGAGTTCTTGGGTTTAGAACAGATACAATATTCCTATCATTCCTTTATCACTTGGCTAGTTGCTTTGGGAAGACTTAGGACTAGGGATAAACTGTTCAAATTTGGAGTCTGAAAGTGAGACTGTCTGCTTTGTGGTGAACAAAGTGAGACAATCTGTCATATTTTCTTTGATTGTAAGTACAACAAGAAATGCTTGACTAAGATTTGCTCCTAGTTAGGTTTTAGTGTGCAGCAGTTTTAAATTGACACAACTTGGAAATGCTGGAAAAGGAAAGGGAAGAACCAGATTCAGAAGAAGTTTTTCCTAGCTGTGTTGTCTGCTATGGTGTATCATGTCTGGCTAGAAATCATGTGTTCTGTTATGCTGCCTGTTGTTTTGGTTAAAGCCACGAAGAGAAAAGTTACTGGTAGAGTGTAACAACTTATTAATCATAAGTGGAAGACTAAAGACTGTAAATGGCTTCAACACCTCAAAGCTGGTATTTGAGCTAATTTAGCCTGGTTGGGTTGGGTTGTAGCTATTCTTTGTTTCTGGCTTGTTTGTCCTGTTTCCTTGCCCTCTGTCCCCTTCTTGGAAAGGTAACAGAAGTGCTTGAGTTTAGGTTTGTTTGCTTGTTTTTTTAGAAGGGCTTGAGTGTGCTGCTTGATTTACTGGTTCTGGTTTGTTGGCTGTTTCAGTTTTTTGTCCTGGTTCTGCTTCTTGTGCCCTTACTAGAAGGTAACAGGGATGCCTGAGTACAGATGGTTCTGTGTTCTCAAAGTGAACCCTTCATAGAAGGTGGCACTTGGAGAATTACACAATTGGGTGGTGGGTGCCCTTAAGGGCTTGTGTAGTTTGGAATTAGCCTCGGGTTTAAGGCTTTGTACAATTGTATATTGTTGTACAGTTTTTTTCATTAATATACTTCTTACTTACCAAAAAAGAAAAAAAAAAATTAGTACTCATAATATGAAGTATTATCTATACTCTTGTTCTCAATTAAAGTATTCACTGTTCATGTTATTTTTGTCGATAAAAAAATTGTAATAATACTTTTCCTAATATCTACGTAATATTTTATAGTGTTATATACGTAACATTTTTTATTCTTTACCACTATTTGGTGGGAATTTTTTTTTCTGTGGTGATGACACGTGTAATTTAGGAATAATTATGGAGATTACTTTAGTATAGATTAAAACTCAAAGGGGAAGACATGAGCCCGCCATGTGTCATAATTACTTGGCAGATAATGTGGCGCCATGTCATACGATTACTATTATTCATTAAACTAAAATGATAAATTGTTAGCATTAATTTTTGAACCCATGACCTCATGCTTGTTAAGTCATTATACTTTAATGTCCACCACTACTCCAATGGCATATTTTATGTCCACAATGTATTGTTAAATAGATTTAATCATATTCATAAACTTAAAAATTTAATGTTATAATATTATACATGTATATTTAACAATAATATATAACAAAAAGGGAAATTCTACATGGTGGCATTCTAGATTGGGAATTTCTATTTGATGGAATTTTTTTTTTTGGCCATTGTTTCTAGTGACCCTCTACATTTGATTAACTCTATGTAGTGAACAAAATTTCATTAAAATGGCTAACCCATTGGTTTATGGTTAACTTTATAACCTAAATCAATTAAATTACTAACCTATCCTCAATCAAAAATCACTTTGTGCAGATATTTTATCAAAGCCCGGTGAGGAGAGAGAATAGGGCAATGGTGAGGGAGGTGAAAGAAAAAAGGGCAGTGAGAGGGTAGGAGAGAGAATGTAGTGGAAGTGGAGGAGAGAAAGAAAGCTGGCGGTGGTCTGTGAGGGAGGAGAGAGAAAGGACTAGGGTGGTGGCTTGAGGGAGGAGAAAGAGGGTTTCTTTAAGGGTAGATTAGTCTTTTGCATCATTAAGGTTAGAAAATCAGCCATTAAAGCATTGGTTAGCCATTTTAATGAGGGTTTGCACACTATTTAGAATTTATCAAATGTATAGGATCACTAGAAACTATGGCAAAAAAAAGTTTCCACCAAATAGAATTTACTAGTTAATCTAGGAGGTCACCATGTAGAATTTTCCTAACAAAAATTCATCAAATTTTCCTAACAAAAATTCATCAAATTTTCTTTTATTTGCTCATACATAAAATAAAACCTATGTTATTTTATATATGTAACTCAAAATATGTAGTGAACTGTTTAAGCTAATGCAATTTTTTTTTTTTCCCCTATTCCAATTGCACGTCTTATATCTACAACGTTTTGTTAAAAAGAGTTTATCATATTCATAAACTTGAAGATTTAATGTTTAATTTTAGGGAAATTTTACATGGTGGCCTCATGGTTTTGCGTTTTCTACGTGGAAGACGAACTTGTTTCCAGCTCTCTTTAGTGGCACCAAGGTTTGGTGGCCTCATTTTTTATTTTTTTTTAAAATTTTATTATTTAAAAAAAAAACAAAAAAATTCCCAGCCATTTTAACAAAAAAAAAAAACATTTAAAATGGCTGGGAATTTTTTTGTTTTTTTTGTTTTTTTTTAATTTTATTATTTAAAAATATAATTTAAATAATTTTTTAATAAAAAAATTAAAAGGTTAACCATTTTAACTAAAAAGGTTAGCCATAAACCTAAAAAAGGTCACTATGTAGATTTTTCTAAACCTTGGTACCACTGAAAAGAGCTGGAAAAAAGTTCGTTTTCCACGTAGAAAACGCAAAACCATAAGGCCAGCATGTAGAATTTCCCTTAATTTTATGCATGTATATTTAACAACAATCTATAATAACAAAAATTATTCTCATTTCTTTTATTTGCTCATACATAAAACCTATAACTATTGCTGTTTTAAATATGTAACCCAAAATATGTATTGAAATTTTTAGGATAAATTTTATTTTTCCTATAACAATTGAAAGTCGAAGTAAACTAACAATTTGAGGATACTAGAAATTGGATAATATATTTGATGTTCAATAATGATTGGAAAAATATATTCTAACTAATACTGATTTTACAACTGGCGCATGGGGCTGCTATTGCGGGGGCTACAAATGAGAATATTATTTGCAATTGCCACTTGTTCACTGCTAATAGCGCTTATTTGGAACTGGCGTAGTAATAGGCCAGTTACTAATAGTGTTTATTCGCAGCTGGCATAATATAAGGCCAGTTGCTAATAGTGTTTACTCGCAGCTGGCATAGTAGTGTTTATTTGCAGCTGGCATAATATAAGGCCAGCTCCTAATACTCTTTTTTTACTATTAAAAAAAAGAAAAAAGAAAAAAAAAAAAAAAAAACACTATTTGCAACTGGCTAAGGACTTCGCCAGTTGCAAATCGTCATTTTTTTAAATAAAAAAAATTGCAATTTTTCCAAATTGATACACAAACTATTTTATATACTATTGTAACAAAATTTATGTTATTTATGAAGTATACATTAATTACAAATTAAAAAATATAATTCCCTCAAAAAAAAAAAATATATATATATATATATATAATACAAGGCTTCTAAAGAAACACAACAAAAGCGTTAAATGTTCATCTTCTAACAAAACTAAATGTTCTCTAGACATGCAAGTAAATTTTAATCACTCACAATATAACCCCTTGGATTTTCTGGCAATTGGGTTTTGCAAGCTCCTGCTGAATCTTCTTGGTACCTGCTAAATGGTATGCAATAGACAGACAAGGCTAGCAGCCTATGTAACAAAAGAAACACAACAGCAAAGTGTCTAGCAGTAGTGTACAACAGCAACAGCGTTGACGAGCAGTAGCAGCAATGACTCAAATCGACTAAATTAGCCAACAATTTCCTGTTAATTATAAAAGCAACAATAAACAACAATTGATTAGAAATTCATCGAAACATAACTAAATATCAATAAAATATAAGAAGGAACTTGGATGTCGAAGTTTAGGTTTTTAACAAGCAAAATACTCGACTAATATTTATTATGCAGTCCAATAACAAAAAAGCTATACACACACCCTCAACAAGTGAAAATAAAAAAAGAATGCAATCAGAATTCGAATCAAGTCACCATAATAAAATAATGTACCATTTCAGCTCTGCAGATAATTTTAAAAGGAAGAAAGAACAGGTCGTGTTAGAGAATGTACCTGTAAAGTGCAAAGAAAATAGCAAGTAACGGAAAATCAATCAGTAACCCATTGGAGTTTCAGTCAATGCAGATCAAATTACAAATATGATATTCAAGATCATGCTCACAAAATTTGACCAATTTTAGTAAGAGTATTAAGATTCTGAATAGAATAACTAATATGAATAATATCAATCCCATATATGGTGAAGAAAAAACCTAAAGCACATCACGTCATCACCCATAAGCTTAACAAACAAAAGTTGCTAAAATGACTTTCTTACTGTGTTTGGGTTGCTGATCAATTTATTCCACTCTTAAGGCTAATGTAGCCAGCCTTCTTTGTAGGAGAAACATTAGGCCCTTGAGATGTTCATCAGATTGAATAAATTCAAGAACACATTCTACAACTTCACGAGTATCACATATGCTCCTATTTGTTCCTTCTAGCGCAAGAATGATACCACATGAAACACACTGAACACTAAACACTATCAGACAGATAAGGGCATGAATAGTTGAATTTATGTTCTTAGAACATTAGACTAAAATGAGATAAAGTAGTGAGATAAGGCAGTTGGACAATCACCAATAATGCAATACAAGCTATATGATAATCTCAAGATTAAAAGATGATATTTAATGGATTGGCCCACAAGATTTACATGAGCCACGCAGCCAACTAGCCCCGACTCTTGGATGAAATTAAAGGCCATTTGGCTGCTAGTTTGAGAATAAGAATGTCAAAAATTAATAACGAACAAATACTAATATAAAATCTAGTAATTTTTTACATGAGATCAAAATTTTTGTATCAATCTCCCACCCATTATCTTGTTCAACATCATAGCATTTAAAACCATACGTATCACTATGCTAGTTGCTGCTTCTTATATATGTTGGTCACCTAATCCAATGACTCCATTTGGAGATTCAATATACTATAAAATATCCATTTTACCCTGTGGGATTTTGAAGTCCACGTAATGCATCACCCAAGGACAAACCACAAATATATATAATGCAGATTAAGAGTACATGAAACAAAAAAGAGGGGGGGGGGGGAAGGGATAGAAAATAAGCTCTAACTTTGACTCCAACCTTTTCCAGAGATCCTACAGTAGACTAGAACTATAGCAACACCAAAATAGACATACAGGCCAAACGCTTCAACATCTAGCAAACAACATAAGTACAACAGATTTATTTGAAAAATACAAAGTAACTCCAAGATGCTTGGTATCTGATTTATCTTCAACTCCTGATCAGTTTTCTAAAGGTTAGCTATAAATAACCATAAAAGCAGAAAATGAAAGATGAAGGGAAACCTTTGGAATTCGACTAAGCTTTAGAGAAAAGTATAAGTTCTAGTTTACAAAGATTTGATTAACAAAAATCCCTTCCTCCCAATCAAAGATTTGATTAAAGAAGCAAAAAGGCATATTAAAGAAGTAGACAGACGTTAGAAAATGCCAGAATATAGGTGAGGATAAAAGAAGAGCAAGTTATCTTCAGCCAAGTCTTGTGAGTTTGAGCAAGAATTGTATTAAGTTTCTTAACTTGAGACATTGTGTTGGCATTATATTATCTTATGTTAACATTATTCTTGACTCCTTATACTGTACTTGAATTTTACTTTCTTCTCGGTTACCATTATAAGGACTTTCGAGAGTATAAGATTCTGAATACACATTTTTAAAGAGTTGAAGGGAAAGAAAGAGAAGCGAAAGAAAGAGCCTCTATCACTTATTAGATAGAGGAAGCACACTTCATTGGAAAATCCTACCATTTATTAGACAGAGGAAGCACATTTCATTGAACACCCAGATCAAAAGCAATATAGTAAATGAAAAATTGAATAATAAAAACAACGGGGAAACACTAGACAAGTATTGAAGAAGTTAATCTGAGGGAACTTAACAAGCTCACAGCCATGAAGGCTGATGCTGCTGCAATATTAACACAAGCTGCTAGTGTCTGGCACTCTGGCAGCCATGAGACAAGGCCTGAACAAAAGATTGAATTCTAAAGTCCATTTGTTTTGTAAACAAGCAAGCCATCCAAGTTGTAAATCAACGACAGATTTTTAGAGGGGTCACTAGTGTTTAGTAATCATAATGTAGTCTCCTTATATATATGTATCTAGTTATCTACTATTTTAAGAACTTTCATTAGCTTATGTCAATAAACAGAAACTGACTGTGGCTCCTCTTCGTAACTTCTGAGTCAAAACTCGTAAAAGAATCACTTCAATTTGTATACCAAGGGCCAATATTAAGTAGCTTTGTTAATATATAAAGCGTGTACTTATGTCAAGAGCTTCAATAGCTTGTGAGCATAAATAGAATGAGTGAGAAACTGAGATATTTCCTCTTTAAAACTTAACATCAAGACTCTTTTTTGTGAATTAATCTCATTTAATGACCTTAGTGTCTACACGTAGCTTCATCAATCCTAACATGGAGTTGAGATTTTTCATTTGTTCTTAGATTAGCGGCGCATTGTACACAACCCTGAGCTAGGCCCAAATCTCGTTAATTTACCAACAAATGACCCTCAAACATTCGTCTTTATGGCGAGACACTAACAGAAGTATAATTTCTGGGAGAGAAAGATGAAAGCTCTTCGTCACGCACATGGTAGGAGCCTATTAGGAAACTAGGAACATTGTAGATAAAGAAGCCAAGGTACTTAAAAATTTACACCGCTGGGGCACTGGATCTGCCAACACTCAATGAAGCATAATCACGGAAATAAATTATCAAAATTAAAACCCACAATAAATTGAAAAAAAAAACCCACAAAAAATTGAAGAACCCTAACAACTTACCAATTCGCATACTAAAAAAAAAATCATATATCAGTCTCACAAATCAATTACCTGAGACCGCATACGAGAATTGTTCGAAATAGCGTTAAGAACACACCAAATATCAAGATCTGAGCAAGGGACATGCTGTGCAGCAATTTTGGGACCGTAGGTAGCCGCAAAACGATGAAATCGCGAAACCCTAGACTAAGAACAACAACAACAATAATGAGCCAAAAATATCATCGCAATTTTGAATATCAACACAAAATTCAACGATTGATTCACAAGAATTAAAAACCACCAAATCCGAATCAATTCTGAATGCTGAATCAATTCAGTTCCGCCCAACTCAACGAAAAAAATCAGTTCGCCAAAAAAAGCAACAAATCAGCATGTCTTGAACGAATATAGAATCGAAAGCAGCATATTATAGAGAAAGAGATTGAAAAATTGATGGGATTCAAGGCCATAAAATCAGACTAATCAAACCCTAAGAGAAGATGAAGAAGAACGACAGAGGAGAGAGAGAGTGATACTGGAGGAGATCAGGAGAGAGAAGCTGCAGAAATAAAGACAAACAATTATACGAGTACTTTTAAAGCTGTAGTTGCGGGCCTTATCATGCCAGTTGTAATTATTTTGGTCAATCTAATTTGACTAAATATTTGTGCGGGCGTAAATTAGGTGGGCTGCTAATAGACATTTTAATTATAAGTTAAACTATTAGTAGCAACTTGCATTTTATGACAGCTGCAAATACTATAATATTTGCAACTGGCATTAAATAAGCCAGTTGCTAATATAAATTTTAACTTTTACACACCAATTATTAGCAACGCTCATAACTACGCCAATTGCTAATGACAGTTTTTGTAACTGACTTTTTTTAAGCCAGTTGCAATTAGTGTTTTAGTAGCTGGCGTGATTAGCGCCAGTTGCTAATGGGGTGCTGCTAATAACATTTTTTACACTGGTGTTTCAATATATATATAATAACTCGGGGCATTGCCCCGGCAAAAACCAATTATTATATTAAATCTATAATAATCCATCTTGTGTACAACAGACTTACATTATTTCAGTGTGAGACGAGCTTCAATACTCACACGTGCTCGTGCCAACCAAAATAAAAAAAGAGAAAGCTTATTAACAAAAGGGTAGCTTTAATAATAAATTCTCTCTAAATGGAAGTTTTAAATTAGTTGCATCACTTTCCTTTTTAACTAATAAATTCTCTCTATCTTTCTCCTGTCACATGGGCCTTATTTATTTTTTCTCTCTATCTCTCCCTATCCCAAAAATTACCTACAAGTCCGTGAAAATTGAAGTGATGCAACTAAATAAAAACAGAGGAAATAATAACTTTTATACTATTGAAAGGGCGGAATTTTAAACGTGTCATAAGTTTAAACATAACAACCATAACTTTAGCAGAAATTAGTATCTTTAATAGATATTGGTAGAACTATTATAAAAATGTTTAATATGATGAAATTTTCGACCATAACTTTAGCAGAAATTCTAGAAGTTTAACATAAACTGATACAACTTTTGTAATAATTAGCTTAAGTCCCGTGCCACGCACGGTTAAACTAATAATTATAACGTAAATTTAATTTAATAATAATTTACAGAAAGAAAAATATATTTTTAACTTAAATAAAATTACTTAGCTTGAAATTTGAATTTTATTTATACCAAAGATGTTAAAGCATATTAATGCATTAGACTTTCTAGAAAAATTGAAAGACATTTAGTGACTTTGAGGTTTTATATACCAAAAAATGAAAAATTAAGTTTATTATATATTAATATTAGTATGTACTAAGAATCTTTTATTACTATTATAATCTATGAAGTTAATAAAGGAAAATAGAAAAAAAAAAAAAAAAAAAAAACTAGGAACAATATTTTTTTTTTTTTTTTGGAAATGGTTTTTAGTAGGAAAAAACAACACCAAGAAGTGACATGTGTCATTCTTGGTGTCTGTTTTAGTATTATACTAGTATAGATACCGTACAATTGCACTGTTTTAAAAGTTCAAATACTAAATTTACAAAAATTAAGTTATAGTAAACTCAGTCCATAACAATGACAACCTATACAACAATTGATTATTCATTATTTTGTAACAATTTTAATCACAATAATGTGTACTCATTTATCACAAGTTTTTATCATATTTTCAAAATACAAAGTATATAGTAATAAAGATATGAATAAGGATAATTCCCTTTATATATTTTTATTATATTTAACCTTTAAGAACAAAATGATTTATACCCTTTCACATATTTCATGTAGTACCCGTCTTGTGCATTTTTTAATTTTGTTTTAATCATGCTAATAAAACATCAATATGTTTTGTGTTGCTGGTCACACCGTGTAACGCCCAAGAAATTCCTTTCCTTTAAATCACCTGTTTTGCCCTTTTTAAAATACGAATTAGGAAAATCTAAGACATTACCGACACCGTAATAACGGCTAAGGCAATTATCAAAGACACACAGCGGAAGACTTGTTTTAAAAACCATTCAAAATGAAACCAACTTCAAAATTCAATCAAACAAAAGTAAAGTCTAACCAAAGTCAAGAGAAGTCGACCTCCAACTTGGAACCATTATAGATACAGAAAAACATTGCGTTAGTTTCACAAGCAAATAAATATAATAATCAAAGCAAATAAACACATCATATCCTTATAGGAACTAAACAAGATTCGCTTTTCACTCATGCCCATCATGAATATGGTTCATCACCTGAAAAACTTCTCTTTACTTTGTCCCCACTACTCGCCATTAGAAATGGGTCGTCGTATGGTCAAGATAAAGACAAGGCCAAACAAACACACAATCAGCAATACTGTGTACATAAGCGTAAATGAATCTCACTAACATGCTTTCATCCTAACATCACACAACTTACCTTATTGCACCTGTTTACAAGCATACAACATACAACACAATCAATGGATAATTAAATTGCTTATTTAATTTGATTAAGCATTGAACAATTTTCCCACCAAATCCCTGCCCCAAATAAATTGAGGTAAACTACTCCGGGAGCTAACCGGGTAGGCATAAATATCACATGAGATGACTGGACGTCCTGTGCATAATAATAAAGAGGAAAACACAGCGTCCTGTACTCCCAGTGGAAGGTATGGTTAAATATAAAACCCCATAATTCCTCCATATGTCCATACTTCAGGTATATACGTTCTAAGAGTTTTGGTACGTAATCTCTTTCACTTTACGTTGTTTTACATATTCTTAGACTTGGTGATTAATCTTAATTCACTACAAAATCAATCACCATAATCATTCAAGTAGTCAAATATTTCAATTCAATTCTTGAATATTTAGTGATCACATGTATTTAATGTTGAACCCTTTTTAAACTAGCTCGGCGTTGAGACACCTTAAGCGTATAAAGTACCGCAAATCCTATCCCTTGGTGTTTAGAAAACCTTAAGTTCACTTAGGCACCACATTTCTTTTTATTCATATGTACTAAGACACTTACTAGCTCAATTCCCATGCTTATAGCATCAATAAAAGTTATATATATGAACCATAAGAAAATTCACTTTTTATATTCCAATCCAAATTAAACATTTAGTTTAATCAAATGAGCCTTTAAACATGCCAACAATAAAAGTATGGTTCAATAACAATATTCAAATATCACCAATTCCAATAAATAATTAATTCAACCAATCATGCTTCACAAATATTTCACCGAGAATCATTCCAACTCAATTAATTCAATCCAAGTCACCAATTCCAACAAGTTCCTAACATGATACTAATTTTAGAATCATAATAATAAATCCTAGCATGCTTCTACACGCTTAAATAATATAGAGTACGCGTGCGTACCTCAAATATGATCTCAAAATCGCCACGACTACACGAAATCACTCATTTGGAACTCTCCTACAATCCACAATTTCATAGAGACATTAATATCTATTCATATTAAATTTCCAGCAATATATACACTCTTTAAAACCTTTTAAAACATGTTGAAAATTAATTAAAACCATCTACTTTTATTCCCAATTAATGGATAATTATAATTCCTTCAAGAAAACTTTATTCTAGCCTCTACATAAAAATCTCAGCAATATAAAAATTCTTAAACTTGCTGTACATTAGTTTAAAAACACTAATTTCAATAGTTTTAATCAACCACATTAAATTCTTTCAATAAACATCAATTTAGAAACCTAGGGTTTACTAATTTGGGCTTTTTCATGTAAAAACAAAATCAGAAAATTATGTGAATTAAACATCATTTAAAACATTATAAAATCATCACACAATATCCAAGACAATAATTAATCAAAGCTAATTCAAAATTTAAGCAAGAATTTTTTTTTTTGTTCAAACCCGCACGCATTAGAGGGAGGGAGGACGGCTGCCGCTGCCTCCTACCGACTGATACTGCGAGCGAGTGCTGGTGGTGGCCGGTCGGTGGTGGTGGTGGTAGACGGCCACCCTTGCGGTTGTTGTGCATGTGTGTGTGTGTCGTGCATAGTGAGAAGGGGAGAGGGAAAATTAAGGGGAAAGAAAATAAGAGGAGAGAGAAAGAAAGTTTACCTTTGAGTATTCTCCACCTCGGGCAAAGTCTAATTTGCTCATATGGTGGGTACTTATACTCTATCTCAAAACCCTCCTAACTTAATTAGAAAATTCCTCAGCTTTTCTGTTTCTATAGAAAACTGGGGTAAAACTTATCCATCACCTTCTCCTGAAACATAGTCTAATTAAAATCAAGTAGTGCCTTAATGGTAGCTTCATTTTGTTTCCACCAAAGGTTAGTTTCACCCCTGAAGTAATAGGTAGCACATCCTACTTTAGAATTCTCTAGGCACCCTACTACCCCAAACAATTTCTCAAACTCCCTTAACCAGTTTTCTAACATAGTTGGGTGTAAATCTCCTTGATAGGTTGGTGGCTTGCTTTGTGCCACCTTTTTTAACAGTTCTCCCTGAGCATCCACATTGTTGGTCGAGTTCCTTGCTAACTGTTGTGCGACCACGGCCAACTTCCTTACCACTTCACTTAGTTCACCTCCTCCATCGTTATTGTTTCCACTACCTCCTGCCATCTTCCTTCTCCTGAATTAAAACAAGGGGTCTTTATTAATTAAGGTCATAATTAGATCTCGAGTTAGACACCCATCCCACTAACTTGTACCAATCATACACACACATTTAATTTAAGCGACTAAATTGAGGTTGCAAAAATTACATCTCTCCAATTTTTGTAGCTTGGTCAACACATTCTTGATTGCTACCTAACCATACAATTTAATAAAGAATCACAATAATAAATAAAAATAATTCCCATGTGTTTCGGGTTTTTTTATGTCCTTTGGGAGAGTTACAATTCCAAGACTGATTTCTGGACACATGTACCTGCAAAACAACGGAGACTCCGATGGGTGGGAGTTCCGCCTCCGACGATCAAGTTAGAACGTGTATGAGGAGTAAAGTGCGGAAAGTAAAGGGTCTCTCTCGAATTCCAAGAGAGAATTTACAATGTGTAATTACTTAGTTCGAGGTGTCAGGTGTCTAACTTTCTCTAATGGAGTGTTAATGGGTATTGAGTATT